TTTGAAAATTCTTTCATTAGGCTGTTGTTTATGGTTTGATTTTAAATCCCTATTTATCTGGATGTTGGCTGCTGGGGAGGAAGTGTTCTGACCTTTTTCTTTCCTTCTAAGCTTTTTATTTTCTCTTTCAAATGGTGTGTAAATGTGATTTATCTCTAAGTATCCATTGATGGCTTATTTGTTTGTATTCCAAGCTTCCAGACCATACTTGGATTTATTTTGCTCTAGGATGTTCACAGTTACCCAGTTGAAACTAGGATTGAGTCTGTCCATGTGTTGTGAGTTCAAGGAGTTTTCACTGTCTCTTCCAAATGCTAGTTAGTGTTCATGAATGCACTCTTTTCTGTGATCTCCTGCAGATATTTGAAGACTGGTGTCATATCACACCTTACTTTTGTTTTTTTGTAAGCTAAATGTACCCAAGATGCTTAATTATCCATCCAAGAACTGGATCTTCAGACTTCTCACAATCTTGATAGCTCGCCTCTGCTTCAATTTTTTGAACATCAGGGTCCAGAATCGGACCCAGTACTCCAAGTGGAGTCTAATCAGGAAAAAAATGAAGTGAACCAGTTTACTACCTATGGTCTGGACCATATTAGAGTGCCCCAAGATAGAATTTGCCTTTTTATCACAGGCAGCATGCGGTTGGCTCATGTTGAACCCAGATTCTTTTCATAAGTATTACTGCCAAACCAGTTCTCTCCCGTTCTATGCAGATATCTCACTTTTTTTTTCCTATGCAGTTCCTTGCATTCTGATTATGAATTCAAAAAACCTCAATCTGCTTAGACCCTCTTGAGAATATTGTCGCCTAGAGCTAACTTGGTAACAGAATTACCAAGGGCAATTCTAGCAAAGAAAGTACTTGTACTGATGACAGGAATATCAGACAGAAGCTTACACTTTATTAAAGATTGTGGAGCCAAAGTAATTTGGTATAAAACTAAAATTGAAATTTCAGGACCTTGAAAATGGGATTACTCCTTGTGCTGTCACTACAATAAGGACAGAGAGAGAGAGAGGAGATGATAATGGTAAGGTGCAGAGAAGGGCAAATAGAAGCTTAAATTAATAGTTACAGATAAATCATTTCACTTTGGCTTCAAATCCAACAACTATATGGTGTTCACTGTGCAGAGCCATGATTATGAGTTGGGCAGCTCTGTAAATCTTCCAACTAAATAAACAACTTATACAGCTGCTGATAGTTACCAGGAAGGCGTGAAAATGAAAGCAAGACATTCTCGGGTTACACCGTGCCTCACCAATATATGAAAACTGGCTTGAGGGAGAGTACATTTTGTGAGTGAAAGGCTTGGACAGAATGGGCTAGACATCAGAGTGAAGCAGAAAGAGAACATCAGATTTCTGACTAGTTAACAGTTACTCATGAACAAGAAGCCCACATGTCCCAACTACTCTGTAAGATACTGCCTACAATATCATTAGAGAAGAGTGCCTAAGAAGATAACACTTATTTCTAAGTTTTCTAAGTTTATTTCAGGGTTTCTCATCCTTAATTGCTGAAGAATTCTGGGACTTGAAGTCCTTCTGAGCAAATGAGTCANCAGCCAAGAAAAAAGAATTAGCTCTTTGCTGCCCCATAGTGATCAACAAATCAACCCAGTTGACATGTAAGTAATAATTTTGGACAAAATATATGATGTACCTAAGTGATTCCACAGCTGAATGCCCTTCTTCATTAAACAAAATGACCCTTATAATGAACTCTGGTTCCAAGAAATCTTTGGGCTGCACACACCCTGCCATCATTATTGTATGTTGCACTTAAACAAGATGAACTGTGATTGTATCTAGTAGTCATAAGTTTGATAAATCAGCAAATATCTTTTATATCTTTTAATTTTTTTAAATAGTAGGGGGGAAATTGAACATGAGGCTGGAATGACATTTACCAACCCAGCACATGTTCTGCACTTAGACTGGTTTACTCACAATTGTGACATTGAATATCAGTCAGCAAAGTCTTCCAATGTTGCCAAGAGGTGTTGTACGAACAGCAGCACAGCACAGTGTGGCTCAGCTCTAGATGCACATGAAGGGTTGGCTGTGGGGCAGTACAATTCATGCTGACATGATTTCATCCCATTTCTTGGATGGGAGGGGCTGCACGGAGGAAGTGGAGTGATGCAGCTGTATGGATGAGCCTTTGCATCGATTCAGTCTCTCCATTAATCAGATGGAAAAGAAAACATGTGCCTTGCAGATCATTGGATGTCATGTGTCTATACAACATTTCCTCTGTGAACTGAAATACTCAACTGATTACACAATTGAAGGAATGCATAAAGTTTTATACATAAAAAGAAAAAGCCAGCTGCCCAAGTAGAATTATACTGATAGCTAAGCCATCAGAGTAACGGCTGGGCAATGATTAAAAACATGCAGAAAAGATTTAAAATGCAATCTCAATATCTTCTGATGGGAATTCTATATGTGCATAGTATCGGAGAGTAACTGCCATTGAATCCAATAGGAATTATTGCTATGTAAATGGCAATGCTGCAGGTTATTAATACAAGTGAGAAAGTGTGCACAATGCAAAAGATCCCCCACCAAAATTTCTTTATAAACTTTGATCTTAGGAAACGACTCCCTTTCTTCTGTGTACTAAAGTAACTTGTGTACATCCATGGAGGTCAGAGGTGGCATTCAGCCGGTTAGAACTGATTCAGGCGAACCGGTGGCAGAAATTTTGAGTAGTTTGGAGAACCGACAAACACCACCTCGGGTTGGCCCCACCAGTGGTGGGATTCAAATAATTTAACAACCGGTTCTCTGCCCTAATGACCANCTGTGGGGGCGATATGCTGACTCTGTAAACCGCTTAGAGAGGGCTGAAAGCCCTATGAAGCGGTATATAAGTCTAACTACTATTGCTATTGCTAACCCTCCCATCTGAACCTGGTGCCTGAGTCACTTTACAATTAGGTAGGTACACAAAACGTTGAGAGTGAAAGGGAGAAAAACAGAGACATTGCCTCTGATGAATATATAAAAATATCCTTGATTGATTCACATTTTATTAACAAAAAAAATGTGTTCATATCCTTAGCAGCACACCTCTTGATTGCCTCCTCAATTTAGTACATTAAGAGATTTTTAAATGTCACACTGAATCATTCTGGATATATATTCATATTCAGACCTAGTCTTTAACTTTGCTGTGCAATCAAGCCTCCTCCCATCCTCTTTGTCAGGCGTGAAGACATCTACTGAGTCCAGTGACACGGCTCTAGTCCGTTTCTGACGCAAGTTCTTCTGCTCTGTGACTGCAACTTAAGTGTAACTCAGAATAAGCTTACTTGATAGCTCAGAATTTTGTAATATGTTTTGCTTCACTGCAATCTTTTTCCCATCGGGGGCCTTCTAGATAATGTTGAATTGCAACTCCTATAAATATTATAATTATGAGAATTGTAGCCAAACATGCCCTGAGAGGCACCAGGGTGAAGAAACCCAGGGAATAAGTTGAACGTGACTCAGACAATAACTTTGCACAACTTATTTGTACTCAACAAAGCTAACACACTCTCCCTCAATCTACCTCACAGGATTGTTGTGGAGAAAAATGAGGGGAAGGAGCACTATATACGCTGCCTTGACTTCCTGAATAAAAGATAGTCCCATGAATCTGATGTTCGTCTGTCGTGTTCGAAGAGGACCTTGACATCTAACGTGTTGTGGGCTGCCCATGGTGTGTTTGCAGGTGGATGGTAAGGCCTATACGGGCACGGAATGTTCTTCCACAAGTTGGGCAGACAGGTGTGGGCACCATTGTTGCAGCATTTGCAGCTCTGGCTTTGCGGAGTGCTCGCTTCTCTTGTGCTTTGGTTGTTCTTCTGTCCACAGATGTCTGGTGGCCTGGGTGGATCAATGCCAGTGGTGGGTTTCAAAAATTGTTCGAACCTACTCTGTGGGAGTGGCTTGCTGCCCATGTGACCGGATGGGAGTGGCTTGCCACCCATGTGACTGGAT